GGCGTCCCGCCTCCGACCACCCGGTAGCGGGCTCGGGCCGGGAGGGCGCACGCGGCCGGGACGCCCAGGGCCGGCGCCTGAGCCGCGACGTCCTTGTCCCGCAGGTGGAGCTCGCGCCGGACAGAGACCCGGACCTCGACGGGACCAAGATCAGTGTGAGTGTCGCCGGGACAGGCCGCTGCCGGGCAGGCCCCGGGGTGAACGCTGGTCAGGGGCCTTGGGCTTCAGGGCCTTCTACTGTCTTGTCTCTGGACGAGGCGGTTCTGCAAGTGCGGATGGCGGCCCGTTGCCTTTCTCACCTCGCTGGGTACATTAAAACTGAAGCACAGCTAGAGTCCGTTGAGAAAACGATATGTTGGCATCACTCAAGTCTCCAAATAGCTAACTGGAGAGTCACTTTGTGTGACACTCATTATGTAATGTAAGAGTAAAGGGTTGGGATGCTAATATATATTCAAAATTATGTAAATAACGATCCTTTAATAGAAAGTAAAACACTAACAATTAACCTAGAAAGATGGTTCTAGGGAGAAAAAAAAATAAAGCATTCAATAGGATGTTGCAATTGTAATGAAATAAAACAACTCACTTTTGAATGACATTTATAAGGCATGCAATGGATTTCCAATGCTTGTGCTCAAAATCATATAAACAGATAAAACCAACATAAATATAAAACCATTACTAGAGGAGGCTGACCTATTGAAAATATACATGTGTAGTCCTACTCCATTGGTTATTGCTTTTAGTGATTGTGTGTAAGATGAGAAAACATGGAAATCTTATTTTTTTAACTAACTATACCTCACCTCAAACGAAGCCAAGAAGAATCACTTAATATTAATAATACTGCTTAACTTGATAAATAATTGTTTTTATTGCTAGAAATGAGATAGTTATATAATACAAAAGGAGGAAGTACATTAAGCATAAATATGTTGTTGTTATTTATGTTTAGGTATCTACAAACCCAATGACCTACATTTAAAAAAGAAAATTTATGTTGGAAATCCTTACAGTAGCATAAAGTAGTATAAGGTTGGAGTTACAACATAACTAAAAATGTACAAATATATTGTACACAGACAAATTCTGTGATTTATTAATAAATGTGTAATTTCAACAGGAGCTATCAAAGAAAATATAAAACAAAAGTTCCAATTTGTAGCTCATAAAATTGCTGACTAATATTCTTTGAATATTTCAATTTCAGTTTATTCTTACATCATAGAAGTGTTTTCATTCAATGTTACAAAAACTTTCTTGGTAAAATCAGTTTTTTGTCTTAAGTATTTTATTTTTCACATACACATATAACTAGATAGGTTGCTTACTGACTATTCCTTTTATCACTTTACCCATTCCTGTGTCATCTAAAGACCAGAAGTAAAAACAACCTCACACATCCTGACCTACAGATGCATACAGTCAGCAGCATAATCACACACACACACACACACACACACACACACACACACACACACACACATACACACATACCTGTTAGTTGTGTTATCTAGCTCATAAAATCTAATGAGCTGATAGATACAAACTGAGGCAGAAAGTAGTCTGTTCTCCGTTTTTCCACCATGTGACCTTGAACATATATTCCAAACCAACAGTTGTTAACTTAGAATTCTCAGGAGAGCTTTTATAAAATATGGATAGAAGCTCCACCCCCTAGAGATGCAGACTTGATGTTTCTGCATTAGTCCTAGTGAGAGTAATTTTAATATTTCCCCAGATGATTCTAATGTGTAGTCAATGTTGAGAATCACTAACCCAAACCCCTTAAATCCCAGTTGACTCAGTTGCAAAGTGGGATAACAATAATATAAATACTCGGCCCACATCAAACTTTATTAGATTTAATTCAGAATATATGTGAGCCTATTAATTTCTGCTGTTTCGTTTAATTAGTATATTTATATGTTACCTTGCACACACATAAATACATACTTACGGTTATGAATCAAATGTTGGAAATTACTTGTATATATACCTCTACATGTAAAAACACATGAGCACTTCTTAAGTTTTTAAAATTATTTAGGGCTATTTAAAGTGTAATGGCCACTAGCAGAATCAGTAACTTGCTACCTCCCTCAATTTGTTCCTGTATCTTTCAAAGTCAATACAGTCCTTCAGTCCTGAAAGCCTTATGAAGTCTGTCATTCTGTAAATCACAGATAATACATGAATATATATCAAATCTAACTGATAGAAATGCTTATATATATTATACTGTATTCTACAGATGCATATATTACATCTAATGTCATATATATTCGATATATGATTTTGCTGTTAATCTGAGTTTCAAATTATTGGAAGAGATAAGAAAGCCAATTTCAATGTTGAAACTCAAACTTAAGTGTTTTATTGATGGCGTCACAAGTTCCCATAGCATAATATCCCTAGAATGGCAGGGGACATATACTCAAGCAATAAGATTTCAGGTTATATTAATCTGGACCATGAACCCTGTTCCAGGACTATAGGTAAAGCATATCCATATCCAATTCTACTCTAGTAATACTTAGGTTATGATAAAAGTGCATCCTCACTCAAATGGTTATGTCCAAACAAAGTATTTTTGTGGTCTCCCAGAGTTGAGGGGTTAGTGCATAGCCCACAGGAAAGAGAAGGGTTTGTGTCCCCTGGAGAGTTGGCTTCACTGGCTTGCAGTTTGTTCAGCTGAGTTAAGCAGGCAGAGGCCAACCCCATGAGGAGAGGATGACAGGGCTGCAGCTGGGACCTGGGAATGGAGGTCACATGTCATCGAATCTGGTACTGGCTGGATCGAACTAAGTATCCCAAGTCTGCAAATCCAATTGTTAGTAGAACAGGATAAGCAAGACCTTAAGATCTGACATTCGGGGGGAAAAAAAGCTCCTTGATGGTGGCTTTGAGACTGTTAAGACCCTTTAATTTGCCAACATTAGCAAGCTCAGGTTAAAGAATGGGAACAAAATCGGTTTGATGTAGCGCTTTATTTTTTTACCTGCAATTTTTCAGACAGTGAAAGTCCAAGGCAATGACATCTCTCACAAACTTCAGATTTCCAAAGTGAGGAAAAAGGATGAAGGCTTATATGAGTGCAGGGTGACGGATGCCAATTACGGGGAGCTTCAGGAACACAAGGCCCAGGCCTATCTGAAAGTCAATGCCAACAGCCATGCGCGCAGGATGCAGGCCTTTGAAGCCTCGCCCATGTGGCTGCAAGACATGAAGCCTCGCAAGAATGTCTCAGCCGCCGTTCCCAGCAGCATGCACAGCTCTGCCAACCAACGAACGCACGCCACCTCCAGCCCTCAAGCAGTAGCCAAAATCCCCAAGCAAAGTCCACAATCAGGTATGGAAACCCATTTTGAGCCTTTCATTTACCGCTCACAAACCCTCCACAGAAAGGTCAGTCAAAAGAGTAGACAGTGTTATAGATGATGGCTTTGAACTTGGCCACCAGAGCCCCTGCCAGCCTGCTCAGAGCACGTGAGTTGGCCCCCTTAGTCCCTGCTGCTGCTCATATCCAGGGGCTCTAAGAGCTGGACTCTTTTTTTTCCTTTCTGTTTTTATACACCATAAGAACAATGAATCATGTCATGTTGGTTACATTATAAATGCACATTCATTTTCTCTGCAGATTTATGGGTCAATAATGACCCAAATTAAGAGGTTTTCTCTTAATCAAAATGTAAATGGAAGAGATAGGCCCTATCGTGCAGATTTTCAGTGACCCATTGCTTTAAGCAGAACTGTCCTCCAGGGGCTTTTGATTCTGAAAGAGAAACCTCAGCTGCCTGTGACAAACGTGCTGATGATAACAGGAGGACGTGAGGGGGGGTGGAAGTCCCTAAGGGATGGGAGACAGGGCAGCTCCTTGGAATCCATGCACTTTCGGTGCCCATCCAAAAGCTTAGTCACACAATTCCTATGGCAGCTCTGCAAGTGAAAGCTGTTCTGAACAGCACTGAGTTCTGCAGTCGTTTCGCCAATGGCAATCTGTTGGAGTTTTAACATGGTGTGGAATAAAGGCTTCTTAGAATGAGCGATACCCTACACAATACCGAGGCTGTCCTGTTTTCCTCAAACATGTGATGTCATCTTCTAGAATGAGTGGAGCCCAAAAATGTTTATTTGATTCTTCTTTAAGCTTTTCCCCTTACGTTTATCATTTAGACATCACCATGCTGTTATTGGTAATAGAAAATTATATTGCTGATAGTTAGGGTTTCTTCAGCCATTAAATGTAAAAATCTGATCACTTCTGATATATATGTATTATATATATGAGATGAGATCTCAAAATCATCCTGAATATATATCTCAGAAATCATCCTGATCAATTATATATATATTTTACAAATACATATTTTTGTATTTGATAAATCGAATATGTATGTACTTTAAGTTCTTGCCTGTGAACGATGCTTTTAAAACAACGTGTGACAGCATAGGCTGCCTCCTAATGCCTTACTTCCTAATAAATGTGACTTGTAGATTTGTAGGGTATTTGACTTAGAGTCTGTGGGATTTCATCCTGCCCCTAAATGTAGATGACCACCTATGCCAGCATGCATCAGTCATAGCAGTTTATGTCAGTGTGATGGATAGATGGCTAGCCCCGGTGAAGCCCAGTGTGTGTAGATTTGTCTTATTTTCTTTATCATCTCTTTCGTTTCCCAAATTAAAGGATAAACCAACATAGCTAGAATATGTGTGTTTTTATACACACCTACAAGTGCACACACGTGTGCACACACATGCGTGCTCGCACACACACATACACACACACACACACATATATCTTAGTTACAATTTTGTAGCCATTATTTGACAATGACTTCATGTCTTTGGAGGGGTTGCCCTCTCTTCCTTCACACTGTCAGAAGAAGGTGCTGGACACTTCGTGTAAAATTACAGAGTAGCCTCAGCAGACAATTTACAGCCTCATTAATGAGAACTCCAAATCATGAAAGTGAAATTATTAGCCTACAAAGACTATTCCAAGTTAGATATCATAAATCTCTTTTGTGGAATAAAGTCAAACAGACTCCAAATGAAGGATTCTATGCATATAGTGAAATGTTTTATAGATTTCTGTAATAATTTCTTCCCTTTTAGGGTTAAATAATGTACTTTAAAAGGATTCCTTTTTTTAATCATCTCTCTTAGCACTGTGGTTGGAGCTAAACGGTAAACTCTAGATAGTGTATAACAATTTTCAAATAAGAATACTGCCCATTTCATTCAGTTACCAGCCTTGCTTGCTCTTAGATACAAAATTGCTTTTTCTGGGGTTAAAGGTGAAAGGAGAGAAGAAACGATTCATTAAAGTCTGTATTCATGAGGAACCCCTTCCACTAAAAATGATCTGCTCATAGCAAAGATTAATCTGAATATCTGAAAATACTTGATTCCTATTTTTTTAACCAGTGAGTATTAGAAATATTTTACATACTTTTATCAACATTTTCTAACTTCTGTTTCAGAGGCTGGGCTCTTCCCAGCCACCAGTTCTATTTATATGTAAGTTTCTGTGCTTGTACAATTATTATAAATAATACAGAATCTTGGGTGGATATTTACATATCATAGTCACTGTGATATCCACATTCTGATTTATAATTTTGCTTTAGAGTTTTCAGGTTATAGTCGGACAAAGCTTATTTCAATACTCTTGCTTCACCAATTCATTCATCTATTTATCTTTCATCCCACCCAAGGAACTCACGTGGCAGATGCAGGGACACAAAAATAGAAGACACGCTTTCTCTCCTCTGGGAGTTTGTATTTTACTTTGTGAGAAAGCACGATATTTGTACGTTCCATTTATTATAATGGTTTTCTTTTGCATCTATTAAAGGCAAGATGGGGTGAAGGTGCAAAAATTAAAATCTTACTCTTATAGTTCAAGAGCTATATCATACCAGCCTTTTATCTTTTATCATTTAATACAGAGGTCATGTTTTATCTGTGGTGTATATGACACTGTAATATCAACACTGTCACACAAAGCTGGTTTGTTTGGACCTTTATTTTTATTGTAATCTTTGACTTAGCTGATTAAACTATTTAGACTGAAACACTCCATTCTTGATCTATACTATTTTCCTGACAAAGAATTTGTTTCTATTAAGGAAAAATATTAACTAGAAATATTTTATTTCAATTTGCTATATCATTAACTTAGCCAGTTTTCCTAAAGCAGAAATTTGCAAATAATAATAACAATAAGATAGAAAAGATTGTTTAGTGCCATCTACATATCACACGATAGTTTAATCACTATTTAATATGTCCAGTTCTATATTTTTTCAGATACTTTTCCAAAAGTTAGCAAGCATGTGACTGTCCCCTCCTGCTTGAAGTTGTTTTTTATCTTTATGAATTCTTCCATAAATTATAAATTCTTAAGTTTTAAAATTATGTAAGTTCTACCTGCATTTTGTAGTCAACAATTAGAACCAAAATAGTTAAGCAAACCTGGCTTTTGCAGTTCCCGTAAAAGTTTCTCATCTCCAGTTGTTCTGAACACTTGGGTTTGTGTTCATGATTTTGCTCATATAAACCTTCCCTTCTCTTTCTTGGTTCTATTAACAAAAGGCGGGGGGATGCCAATGCCAATAAATATGATATATGGGGAAAATAACGCATAGAATAAGAAACTGGAAAAATGTTCTACATGTGTTCTGACAAAGGAGAACTAACTCTAGCTGGTGGAGCCAGGGAGGGCTCCCTGCAGACGAGATTGGAATGGCAGGGAGAGTTTGTAAAAGCAAAGACAGTGAAGATCGTTCAGATGGAAGGGTAGAATCAAGTGCCGGGTGATGTGGAAAACCCCAGGCTCTCCGGCAGGGTGAATGGTTTGGGTCCCTCTTCATGAGAGGCAGAGTCTTCCGTCAGCTCCCTCCACCACATCCCCACATACCCCAGGACGCTACACCTTTCTGTGCGGTCTTCCTGTCTCACCCTTATTTCCAGTCCTTTCAGAAGCCAAGCATCTCCATAGACCATCTCTGTCAGTCCTTCCTCTGTTTTCCCTCTGCATTCTTTTCTGCTGACCCCTCCCCCCACCGTTACAAACAGGCAAACAAAATGGTGAAAACAGCTTCAGCTCCTGCCCTCCCCATCCTGGCCCAGATCTCTCCAGTGGGTGAAGGCCCACTGATGTCTGCCACCCTCCAGGAGGGGCACTGTGGGCCAGGCTCCTTCTTCCTACACCTCAGCCCGGGAAGTCCCGCTCTTCTTTGTGGATCCCACCCAGATGCTCTCTCGCAAGTCACCGGTGTCCCCACTCCCAACTCCCCACCCTCATACTTCATCCTTCTCAGTTTCTAAGCAGTCTTTGTCCCCTGGTAGCTCCTTCTTGACACGCTTGCCTCTCTCTTTTTTAAAGTTTTATTTTAGAGTTGTGGAGTCCATGTGAGCATTTACTGCCTAAGTCAGTTGTGTACAGGTGACGTTTGGGCTTCCGGGGGGCCCTCTCTCCCCGATAGCGGACCGATACCCAGTATGTTGCCATGTGCCCCGCCTTGCATCCGCCCTCCCACACCCAGCAGTGTGTAGCATCTGTTGTTATCCTGGTGTTCATGTGACCAGTGATCAGGGCCCACTTAAGAGTGAGAAGGTGCAGTGTTCAGTTCTTTGTTTCTTTGGGAGTTCACTTAGTATGATGGTCTCCAGTTGCCGCAAAAGACATGATTTTGTTCTTTATGGCTGCATAGTAGTATTCTGTCATGTGTATGTACCACATTTTTTAATCCAGTTCACTTTTGGTGAACATCTGAATTGTTTCCATGTTTTTTGCTATTGGAAATGGTGCTGCAGTGAATAAACGTGTGCATGTGTCTTTTTGGTAGAGCGATTTATGTTCCTCTGGGTATATTCCAAGAAGTGGGATTGCTGGGTCATATAGAAACTCCATTTTGTGTTCTTTAAGAATTGTCATACTGCTTTCCATAGAGGCTGAAATAGCTCACACTCACACCAGTGTTACCTTTTCTCCACACCCACAACAGCACTGTTGTTTTTTGGCTTATTAATGATATCCATCCTTACCAGTGCTAAGTGGTATCTCATTGTAGGCTTTTTTTTTAACTTATAATTTTTTTATTTCAAAGATAAGGGGTATAATTCAGGGTTAGGTATACAAATGTTTATGATGCAGGTACCCTTGTTAATGAGGTGTATCCCCCCTTCCCCAGGCAGATTCCTACTACTGCCATTCTGCCTCCCCGCCCCCACCCCCGGCAGTTTCTCGCTACTGCCAATCCTTTTCTTATAGTATTATGATAATTGTTCAAGGTCTGCTTATGAGTGAGAATATGTGATACTGAGTTCTTCATTTCTGTG